GGTGGGGTGGGGTGGGGCGCGTGGGGGGGTGTCGGGGTGAGGAGAGGGTTGGTGTGGGCTCGGGGGGTGGCTAGGATGCGGTGTGCTGTGGGAAGCTAAGCAGGGTCGGGCCCGGTGGGCAGTTGGATGGGAGGCGTCCCCGGAGTGGCGGGGTCGGTGGAGTTTTGGCCTTTTTTGGGGGTGGGGATGGTTGTTTTGGGGAGTGGGTGTGTGGGTTGTGGGTGAGTTTTGTGGGGTGTTGGTGGTGTGTGTGTGGGGTAGGTGTGGGTCGGGGTGTGGGGACACCCACATTTTTTCCCCGAAAAAGAACCCCCCGAACTCTAATTTTGAACCCCGCGTGGCGTTTATGACGCTTAATATTTAACTCAGCTGAGCAGCGTTTAATGCATCTCGAAGCAGGTTTAACACACACGGCGCACACTCCTTATTATTGTTATAAACCTTTTGATATCTTAACGCATGAAAAGTTTTTATAACTTTGTTTGGCGTAAAAGTTTTACAAGTTTTTCCTCTTCTTTTTTTTTTTTTTTTCTTCTTTTTTTTTTAAATTCCCAGCACGCATTTAGTCTTTTCCATCAACTTTATTCCTACCTCGGGTGTCCATCACAATAAAGCCTCCCTCATAGGCTGGGGAGCTGGCTCTGTGCTCTACGTTAATGACACCCAGACTAATTACGAAGGCCCTTTCCTCGTGACGTACGAACACACCAACCCAACCTGTTTCCTATTGCTCCCTGGATTTCATACACAACATCTTGGAAGCAGCTCTGGGGGACTTTGTTGTGAAATATTGCAGAGAGGGAAGGAGGCGAAGGGGGCCGGCTTCTAATTGGCTTCTTGCGGGATAATCATGTTCACTTAGGTTGGCTTCTATACAAAGCAGATGAATTCCATTTTTGGAAAAAAAAAAAGAAAAGGAAAAGAAAAGAAAAATGAATTCCATTTTTGGAAAAAAAAAAAAAGAAAAGGAAAAGAAAAAGAAGGAAAAGGAAAGAAGGGGGGAGAGAAAAATAAAAAAAAGGGGGGGGGGA